TTTTATAGTGGAAAAATAGGCTCCAACGGACCAAAACATTTAAGGGGTGATTGGCACAATTTGTGGGATTTGATTAAATTTGGATCTGCTGAAATTCACCCAGACAGCGCTGTCCTAGGCTTGGACATCGCTGTTCTAGGCTTGGTTTTTAAAAATTGGGAAGCAACGGTCATGCCAACAGCGATGTCCAATACCCCTACATCGCTGTTTTGGCTGTTGACTTCCAAACAAGGAAAGTTTTAGCCTTAAATTTCTTCCAACGGTCAGGTCCCTACATCGATGTTCATAACTTGAACATCGCTGTTTAGGTCTGACTTTGAAGATGGAAGTTTGGCCTGACAGCGCTGTTGCTGGGTCAACATCGCTGTCCTGAAACTTTCTGCCAATGCACTATATTTTTGGCTTAGGTCGGACAGCGCTGTAGGGAAGCCTACATCGCTGTTCCAGAAGTTTCTGGAATTTCAACCTTGGCTCAACAGCGATGTCTAATGTCCAACATCGCTGTTGGAGGACTTACCGCCAAACCATGTTTTTAGCTACCCAGGCCAGACAGCGCTGTTGATTACCTCAACATCGTTGTTGGGCTGGTTTAGCTAGACCCATGGTTGGTTTAGTCACGCCGTTAGCCGATGTCAAAAACACAAGTTCTCCAAAATAAAAACCAAGTTTAGAAAACATCTGCTTATTGCATTTTGCTAAGAAATCAAGTGAAACATCTTAAAAACCACGTCATTTAGTTGAAAACCACGGCTAGCCAAGTTCGCGTCGTTTCGCATGGTTTTCAATAAACGACCAAAAACAGAAGATGGTTTTTGAGGCGTTTTTGTTGGAGAACTATTTAAATGTGCCCAGTAGTAAAGACCATTCATAAAAAGTTGAAAACCACTTGGTTGGTTCGGACGCCAAAAACCAATGCCGAAAACCGAGAGCCGAACGCCGGTTTCTGAAAACCGAATGCCGGATGGCTTGGTTTTTGGTCTGGGCAAACTCCAAGTGTTTTTGGGTAGATTAAAACTTATGAAAAACATTTTTGAGTTTGTAAAAAGAGTTTTGATGAAATGAGCCTAGAGAGCCAAGTTTTGAAAGTTTGTGCCGGTCTTGATCACATTAAGACCGACTCAATACAAATCTAATTCTTTGTTCTTGATTCTGGATTCTTGGCTCTCAAACCATCATGCCATGTTCCTTCGCCTTGGTTTTTGTTCTCTTTAGCCTTGTTATGTCACGGCGGTTTGGCATTATCAAAGTCTGTCATAGAAACGAACATAGTTTAGTACGACGTAGGCGTAAACTTGTGTTCCAACAAGACACGCCAAACCATGTCCCCAAAACTTAGTCACGAAGAAGTAAAACAGCACTAATTACTGTCCATTCCAGTGAGGTAAAGCCTCTGTTTTTAGAGGCATAAGAACCAAAACTCAGCCTGGTTTTAATCCCAGCACGAAGTTCACAGGTCCCTCACAATCAGTTCACCATAATGAGAAGCAATGGTAGAAAGAAGAGAACCACAACAAGTGCCAAGTCTGCCCATGAATAGCATGCCACAGATTCTACACTTTCCTTCCAGCATTGGTCGATTCCTCCACCCCAAAGCATCCCTAGTTGGCTCTTCCATAACCATTAAGAGGGGTAGGGGACAACAGGCCATTATGCAGTTGATAGGTGCAGCACCATAGGCAATGTAATTCAGTGGCCATTCTTCATGGAATTGAACCCCAGAACTCAATAAATTCATCCCTCAAAACATGGTTCATAAAATATCCCATAGTTCCAATATCAGCATTAAAACAAGCAAAATGACCAGTAACACACACAAACCGCTTCAATTGATGTTGAAATCCAACTTCATAGAGTGGAAGAGGATTACAAACCGCTCAAAATCTCAGAAAATTAACCATCAAAGTTGCCCGGATTGAATTGAATCAGAGATGCAAAACCGCGATTGAACAGCGTCGGGCATAGCGTTGACCTTCGTTTCTTCCAAAAAACTTCTCCAAAATCAGCGAAATAACCACAAAGCAAAGGAGATGAACAGTGACGAGTTGGGCATTGACTTTCAATTCGCATAGCTTCTTCTCACAAAATCCCAAATTGAATTCATTATCATGTGCGCCAGCATGAAATTTACTCGGGTTCCAAAAATCAAATTAAATGGAGCAATCAATCAATGGAAGAATGGAAGGGAAGAAGGCAGTGAACAGTGTTTCGAGACACTGCCCAGTGTTCAACATACAAGAGATGACTATGATTTTGAAGAAGATGACAGGAAATTATCTCTATGTGAGAAGAGATATTCTGAATGGGACGCCATAGACCTAATTGCGAAATTGGGGGCACATATTAGGCGGGCAATGGAAAATTTGGAGGGATTTTAAAATTTGAGATGAACTTAAAAAATTGTAGAATCAGCAATCTGATTTTTGAAACAAAAAAGTTTTTTGGTCCATAAATTTTCTCACACTTATGTACCACTTTAAATTAGGGGTACATTTTTTTGTTAATTGAATTTCTGTTTTTGTCCGATTTGATCTGATTAGGTCCGATTTGATCTGATTAGGTCCGATCTGATGCATTTAAAGATTATATCAGGCAATTATGACACAACCTATACAAGTAAATAGATTCCTGTGAAAGTTTGATATGATCTTATTACATTCAAAATTTATTTGATCCGATTAGATCTGTTTTGGTCTAATTTAATCTAATTAGGTCCGATCTGATGCTTTTAAAGAACTAGGACACAACGTATACAAGTAAATAGATGTTTTTAAAGATCTGATCTTATGGGATTTGAATTTGATTTGATCCGATTAGATCGATTTTGGTATGATTTGATCTAATTAGATCCGATCTAATGCATTTAAAGATTATATTAGGCAATTAGGACACAACATATACAAGTAAATAGATATTCTTTGAAGATTTGATCTGATCTTATTATATTCGAATTTCATTTGATCAGATTAGATCTGTTTTGGCATAATTCAATCTAATTAGGTCCGATTTGATCCTTTTAAAGATTACATAAGGAAAATAGAACACAACCTATATAAAAGTTTAAATTTTCTTGGTAGATTTGATCTGATCTTATTGGTTTAAAATTTGATTTGATCCGATTAGATCTTTTTTTGTCTGATTTGATCTAATTACGTACGATCTGATGCATTTAAAGATTAGATCAGGGAAATATAGGACACAACGTATACAAGTAAATAGATCTTTTTGAAGATTTGATATGATCTTATTGGATTGGAATTTGATTCGATCCGATTAGATCTGTTTTGGTCTGATTCGATCTAATTTGCTCTGATTCAATGCGTTTAAAGATTAGATCAGGCAAATAGGACACACAACCTATATAAGTGAATAGATTTCCTTCATGTTTTGATCTCATCTTATTGGATTTAAATTTGATTCGATCCGATTGGATCTATTTTGGTCTGATTCGATCTAATTAGATTTAATCTAATGCATTTAAAGATTAGATCAGGAAAATAGGACACAACCTATATAAGTGAATAAATTTCCTTCAAGTTTTAATCTCATCTTATTGGATTTGAATTTGATTCGATCTGATTAGATCAGTTTTGGCCTAATTCAATCTAATTAGGTCCGATTTAATGCGTTTAAAGATTAGATCAGGAAAATAGGACACAACCTATACAAGTGAATAGATTTTCATATTGGATTTGATTGAATATGCGCAAGCAATAAGATCTAATTGAATTTGATTTTATCTTATCTTATCTAATCTGATTAGATCTAATCTTGACGGATCTAATTGGAATAGATCTAATCTGCTTGATCTAATTGCAGTTATATTTAAAACTCTTTTAATTTGATTTGATTTAATCTAATTTGATGAGATATGATTTGATTAGATATAATCTAAACAACATATAAACATGTTAAACTGAGATGTAGTTATCTGATTTGGTATAATCTTATGTGTCTGTGTTTTTTTAAAATACAATAAGTATAAACATGTAAAACTGAGATGAAGTCTAATAATTTAACCAAAAATTGAGGGAATACATAATTTTTTGTTGAAATGAATTGAAAGGTTAATATACCTTGAATCTGTATTGTGTTGCCCTTACGCAGATTAGTAAACGGGGGTTTCTGTTTACTTTGATTACTCAATTATATTACGCTTTCTGTTTACTTTATAAAATATTTCAAAATATTATTTTATTTAAGTAATATACAATATATATTTTATTTAATTTTAGATCAAAGATTTAAAATGATTGATTGCAAAAATTAAAAATTGAACAAATATTCGAAGCCTGAAAACTAAAACATTTTGCATCCCCTTCTCCAAAGCAGTGGTACATTTTGACAACTTCCTCCTCAAAATTTAGAATTCCTCTTCACTTTTGTTTTCAAAATCACCTCAAATTTCATATTCCCTCCTTAAATTTTCAGAATCCCTCCTTTTTATTCTTTTCTCTTTTGCTATCTAAGAATTCCTGGTCATCCTTCACACTTTTGCGTGCACCCAACATAATGGAGGCGGGGTTTCTCTCTCTAGGAAACACGAATGAACAGTGCCACGAGGCTGTTCTTCGCCATTTCTCCTTCATTTTGAGTTCTTTTCTTCTGGTTTTTGGAACTCTATTAGAGGTTGAATCGCTGATTTTGCGGCTGAATTATGAATAATCGAAGGTCAACGCTTGGGATGGTACTGTTCACTCGCGAACTTTGTAGCTTCATTCACGTTGTTCCAAGAACTTCTGATGGCCAATTTTCTCAGATTATGGGCAATTTGTGATCCTCTTTCAAGGTATGAGAGTGGATCTCATTCCCGTTTGATTTTTATTCGATTTGTGGATTTTGAGACTAGGTTTAACCTGTTCATTTTGCGACACTAGAGTGCGATTGGCACTGGTACATGCCTGATTTTGGGTCCAGCTTTTGTGGGTTCTCATTGACGATGTTGAGGACTTGTTTGTGTTGATTTTGGTCTTGCGGTCCAGCAAACTTGTTTGTTCTTCATTGATGAATGACTTTCTGGATTTGTACCACTAGGCATAATTAGGCATGTGTTTTTGTTGTTGTTTCCTTTTGGTTGGGTTGTGTATTAGGGGTGGTGTGGATTCTTCTTGCTGTGATGAGGGGGTGGAAATTTTCTAGGCAATGTCATAACATTTGGTACAGGTTTGCCATTTTACCCTAGCCCAGCCCCGATTTCCGATGGAGTAGCAACAATGTACAATACCGTGCATGGCTTAGGAGAGCGACGGTTTGCAGCGACCTGAAGATGATTTAACAGCATGTCCAGCCCTAAAGTCCGAAAAAACTAGCATCCATGGTTGTTTCTTGGTATAATCTTCAAATTTGGTTTGTTCTTTATATGATTCTTCCTTGATTAGGTTTGATTTTGTGTTCATCTTCTATTTTAGTACAATTTCTTATGTTTAAGTGCTTCAAAAGATCTGAAATTGGTTTTCGTTGTGTTGAAAGGTTGGTTTGATTTTATTTTGAATCTAATATGAGTTATGTGTGTTGACTTCGGGCTTTCAATTGTCACTTTAATCACAGGATTTGTTTGATTATTAAAAGAGTGAATATATTAATCTCATTTTGTGGTACCATCTTAGAGTTTTCATTTCTTTTGCTTCTTTAAGCTCCTGTTAAGGTTCTTGTCATACTCATTGATGAAGATAAAGTGCGAGAAGCGGGGCTTGGGGAGAGCTTACGAGTCCGAGTATCTAGGATTGAGGAAGATGATATCTTATCAGGCTCTGTTCTATGCAGTGTTGGTAAATACCATTCAATTATTTTCTTTGCTTAGTCTACTTTTTCAATTTTCAAAGCTTTATGTGTGGACATGGTTTGCTCAATTTGTCCATTGTTAAGCTTATTTGGAAGGGGTTCATCAAGTTATCATTATGTTCTTTTATACCTATATAATCCTGTCTCGAATTTTACTGAAATGGATCTGTGTCTTGGTGCAGTAAGGCCAGTCCCTGCTGTTACACGGTTTGTTGCGCACTTGTCAATCAAGGAGTTGTTGGATAATGTATGAATTGAAACATAGCATATTTATTCTCTTATTTGCTTGTTATAAAACTAGGTTTATTGTATGTCGCATTTCGGTTGGCTTCTTAAGAGCACGACTTCTGCTATGTGGTCTTCTTATATTGTGCAAATAGATGAACTTCAATTGTTAAATAGATGTATATGAACTACTTTGGAGGTATTAAGCTAGCAAATAACTCCAAAAAGTTCTGATTATTTTTTATTATGAACTCTTTCTTGTTATCAACAAACATTCATTTTAATTATTCAATGGTATGCAGATTGAGGACTAAAGTGGATGCTTTACAAGAAAATATTGCTAGAGCAAGAGATGTATTCAGAAATGTTATTGAGGGGATAAATAACTAAATTAGGCATGCAGAATGGACAATTAGAGTGTGATTTTAATTATGTAAATATTAAATTATTGTATGTTATTTAGACTTGGGTTGTATGTATTTAGATATTATTCAATATATTCTACATTTTAGAATTTATTTTTGTTTCTTGATCAATATTTTGGAATTGAAATAAATTTTATTTATTAAATATAAATGTAAATTGAAATATAGTAGTCTTTCAAATAGCTTTACAATGTATTAAAACAATTTTCTAAATCTTTAAAGGACAACTACACAAACCTGTACTGTTAATAAACGTTAGACAATAGAAATAAACAGTTGTGTGAAATACAACAAATATAGTTGTTTAAAGATTACAAATACAACACAGAATAGCAGTTGTCTTATGCAAACACACTTAGTTGTCTTCGGAGTAGTAGTCTGATTCACAATCTCACTACTGTGTAAAAAGATAGTTTGAATATTTCATGGACAACTACAAAAAAGCGTAGTGTTATTGAGCACTTTACAAGTGAAAGAAACGGTTGTTTAAAATACAACAAAATTAGTAGTCTACATTTTAGAAATATAACACAAGATAACAGTTGTCTGATGCTATTTTTGTTTAGTAGTCTTCCAAGCAGCAGTCTGATATATCTTTCAACCACTTTTGAAATTAGATGTCTATATTGTTGAATGACAACACCACGCAATAGGAGTCTGAAGTCGAAAACAACAGTAATATTCATTATAAATAGACAATGAAACATTAGAGTTGTCTTTAACTCTAGAAAACAGATGTCTTACTCATACAAGGACAACTTCAAAAAAATGTACTCTGAAACATCACAAAATAGGTGTTATCAACCGAATTACACAATTGTTTTTAAACATTAGTCTGTAAATATATCAGACAGCTGCTTGGAAGACTACTGAAACTAGCACAGTTAGACTACTAAAAAGAATAGTTGTCAGCATCTGTTTTTGACGTAGTGACTTCCTCCTCTTCTTCTGTGTTGGCGGTTCTTTCCATTAATTACTTCAGTATGTATCCAAACAAGATTTGCCCCATTTTCACGAAGGTGGAGGCAAAAATCGAGAAACGGGCCAAAAGATACTGCGTCATCGAATTCCCGGATCACAGTCTCCTGGATCTTCCCTCTTTGGCGCTGTGCTCTAATCTAGCCGGACTCCATTCTCCAAATCCTCTTTGGTGGAGAAGGCCCATAAAGAAATGAAGGGAGGAGCCCTGATAGATCATGAGGATCTTCTCACGGACCGGCGTTGTTTCGGCCGGTCGGCTTCCATTTTCCCAGGAACAATCCCTTAGTGCCTTGCACCAGGGGAAGCACACTGCCTCCGCGGGCGTGAAGGTAAAAGGTCCTCAGAAATCCCTCTCAAAGAGAGGCAACTAGAGCAGAATCCTTCAAATCATGAAAGCATTGAAAAGCTTCAGACTCCGTCACTTGTGGCGCCCGCGGGACTCCAATTTCCCTAGCAAAGGGAGAAGTTTCCACTCAAGTCACTGCTTCCTGGCCTGCCGGCTTAGTTCTCTAGAGGCCCACCGGCACGCAGAAGCGTAAGCAGTTTGACCCTCTTATCCTTTTGCAGCAATAAAAGGCAAAGAGGTCCCTAGAGGAGTCTACTATGGGACCTAGTTCCTCTCCAATGGTCACTCCATTGACTCTCGAGGGCATCTTAGAATGCTCCCCTCGAGATCACTCCCTGGAGGGGGGGGCATATCTGGTAAATGGCTATTGAGTAGCCATTTGTTGTTATGACCATGATGTTGACTATTCTAATTTCTTGACGAGCCAATCCTTTGAGAAGACCCACACAAGAAATAAAGGAGTTATGATGAGTATATTGTATCAAGATAGTTTTTAATACCACAAACCCAATTTATGTGTCCATGCCCAAGGAAGAAACCCAAATGACCAAAATTGACCCAAGATGTGACCCACGAGCCAATCGAATAGGTTGGCGCAATTTGGCCACAAGGCTCACACACTTTAGAAAAATAGATTGACTGCTAGAGCTGATAGCTTAGAGGTAAAGGTATCATAGATATCGGGCATATTTGGTAAATGGTTGTTGAGGTATCCTTTGATTGTTATGACCATGATTTTTACTATTTTAATTTCTTGACGAGCTTATCTTTTGAGAAGACCCGTACAAGAAATCAAGGAGCTTATGATAATTATATTGTACCGAGATAATTTTCAATGCAAGGAACCCAATGTATGTGTCCTGCCCAAAAACAAATCCAAATGACCAGAACTGACCCAAGATGTGACCCACGAGCCAAACGCACAGGTTGGCCCAATTTGGCCATTAGGCTCACACACTTTAGGAAAATGGATCGACTGCTAGAGTTGATAGCTTGGAGGAAAAGGTTTCATAGATATCATGCATATTTGGCAAATGGTTGTTTAGGTAGCCTTTGATTGTTATGACCGTGATTTTGACTAATCTAATTTCTTGATGAGCCTATCTTTTGAGAAGACCCGAACAAGAAATCAAGGAGTTATGATGAGTATATTGTACTGAGATAACTTTTAATGCAACGAATCAAATGTATGTATCCATGTCCAAAGAAGAAATCCAAATGACCAAAATTGATCCAATGTGTGACCCACGAGCCAAACGAAAAGGTTGGCCCAATTTGGCCACGTAGCTCACACACTTTAGAAAAATGGATCGACTACTAGAGTTGATAGCTTGGAGGCAAAGGTTTCATAGATATCAGGCATATTTGGTAAATAGTTGTTGAGGTAGCCTTTGCCCTTAGATGTTATTAGGACCATCAATACCTTTTTTGACTTTTCAATTAGCTAAAAGATTGTTTGAGTTGGCTTTTGGATTTAGCTTTAGCTTGTTTGTGATGGCAAAGGTTTCATAGATATCAGGCATATTTGGTAAATGGCTGTTGAGGTAGCCGGCCTTTGGTTGTTATGATCATGATTTTGACTAATGTAATTTCTTGACGAGCATATCTTTTGAGAAGACCCGAACAAGAAATCAAGGAGCTTTTGATGAGTATATTGTACCGAGAAAACTTTTAATGCAACGAACCCAATGTATGTATCCATGTCCAAAGAAGAACCCAAATGACCAAAATTGACCCAAGGTGTGACCCACGAGCAAAACGCCCAAGTTGGCCACGAGGCTTACACACTTTAGAAAAATAGATTGACTACTAGAGTTGATAGCTTAGAGGTAAAGGTTTCATAAATATTGGGCATATTTGGTAAATAGTTGTTGAGGTTGTCTTTGCCCATAGATGTTAGGACCATCAATACCTTTTTTGACTTTTCAATCAGCCAAAAAATTGTTTATGTTGGCTTTTGGATTTAATTTTTTGCCTCGAACAACCAAAATTTGAAGTGCCAACAGTCATGGCGTTTCAAATTGACTGATTGTATCGATGTATTTTTTTCACTTGAGTAAGCTTTTCCCAAAAAGAAAATGCCTCATCTTGATCATAATTTTTGATGGAAGTTTTCTTTTTCTACATTCCAGTTTTTCTTCATTCCAATTTTTTTTCTTCATCTACGTAGATTATGGATATGTTTCTTCATTCCAATCTATTATTTTTTATTTTAAGGTGAAATGGTTATAAATACATATAGAAAAAATAACATTTAAATTCTCTGTGTTAAAAAATAACTTTAAAGAATTAATTTTTATGTTTTTATCAAAATTTAAAAGATTAAACTATTTAAAACAACAAATTAATTTATGAACAACTAAGTATGTTTCACTACAAACAGCTATATATGAACAGTTAAATTTACTAAACAATTTTCTCTTAACAACCATTCAAAACAACCCTCACAAACAACCAACATCCAAACAAGACTATCATAATAAACTCTACGGGTGGGCAAGAATTCCGAAATCGTTGTCCCAACCTGAAACCCGACCTGAAATATCTCGATCCCGTCTCTACAATGTCCCGTTTTGTTAGGTATGACAAAATGTTGTCTCGAATCCGTTCCAAACCGTTTCGAAATGGGACATGATCGGGAGACATAAATATTTTACCCTTCCGTCCTATTGTCCCGTATATATGTATATATTCATTTATTTATTTATTTATATAATGATATAACACAAAAAAAGTATCAAGATTTTAATTCTTTCTAATATAGATATAAAAATATCTAGATTCGAATATAATGAAAAAATAGGCTTGGACCGAAACACCTAAAAATTCATACCGTTCTAACTTGACCCAACCCAATTTGTGGCTCATAAGTTGTATGAAGTTTATAATCTTTACTTTTGACATATGTTGTGACATTTTTTATATTTCTTGATTGTTTTTTCTTTTTAAAGATATTTTAAATAAATATATTATTTTTTCATTACTTTTCAAGTCAAAGTGAGTTGCTTCCCCCTTATGTATTTTATATTTTTATATCTAATTTCGGATAATGACAAAGCATGACAACCCAAACCCGTTTGATTTTGTCCTGATCATGAATATTAAAGGGCAAAGGGAGATAAGCTTGTGGACCAAACCGTTGAAAAAAACGAGATAAAACATGGGACGATATAAAACCCAAACTATCCCGACCCGTGCCCACCACTAATAAATTCAACCATATTCCAAGATTTTCGAGATAGATTGGAGAGAACAAGGAATATCTAGCACCGTATGAATACCACTCAAAAGATTACCATAAAAGATTCAGTGCATAATTCCTATAGCTTGAGTTTTCATTTGCATCTCTAATATTCTCGACAAAAAGGCAAATTTTTATATGATCTTGAAGTTCATTTTCATTTTATGAACCTTAATGCATTTATATTATAAAACAATCGAGTCTTTTGCTAAAAGAGAAAAGATACACTAGTCAGCTCATGAAAAATGTGAAAAACTTATATTTCACATGTAAACTTTAAGTTCATAGAAGAACAACTCTTCTCGGAATTGATATTCGTATTGAGTAATATTATTGTGAGAAGTGAGCAATAGTCCACTTATATTTACTCATAACATCTTTCCGTCAAAATTTCATGTTTCTTGGATTGTATATTCAAATTTGCAATGAAGGAAATATACCCACGCCCCCTGTACCACTAATATACAGAGTAGTTTACAAAGAAGTTTCTTAAAATTTGTACCGAGTAATCTCTTCAAAATTTATGTTTTGATCTTATAAGCTTCTCTATTTTTTAGTCTATTGTATACCATTTCTAGTGTTTATAGTAACATTAGTAAAAACACTTACATAACTATGAAATTTCATAAACTCTTAAGCCCCGTTTGGTACATGGAATTCAAACTATGGAATTGGAATTGAGGACTTCAATTCCAATTCTGGTGTTTGGTAGCACAAAAATTGTGTGGAATTGGAATTGATAGTGCAAAAAATGAATTGAAATTGGCAAAATTCAATTATATGAAATTGAATCCCATGGAATCTCAATTCCAATCTCGTCAATTCCGTATACCAAACGTACCCTTAGGTGTATTTGGATTTAGACTCACGTGTTCAAAAATTGAGAGAAAACTATACCAGAAAATTACAAAATCTAATGAGATAAGTAAAGCATGGAAATATACAACAGAGAAGTAACTACGCGTCCTAATTCCCTCATTCATTCCATTTCATTTACAGCAGGAGAGTAAATAATCAAAAGCAAGAGTCATACTTCTAGTTGCCAAAAAGTCAGCAAATGCTGTGTTCTTCCTTTACTTTTCTGTCGCGCAATCACTGTTCTTTCTTTCGCACGTGCTCTACCCGCACCTTGACAATGAAGAACACCAATAGTAATTGTACAAAAGTTTCCCGTTCTGCCCCTATCCACAAAGAACACAATGTTATAAATAGAGTACACAATGGGCAAGTGGAAACAAAATTCTCATCATCCGCGTGTGGCTTGACGAGGCTTTGGTGGTATATATAAAGTATCACCACACTCGATTGGAGTATGCAAAAGTGGATTCCATCTGTCAAACACCAGACGTCCACCCCTACCGATTCTTCCCCGAAAGTTAAACGGGCGTCCATTACCCATTGAAGAAGAACCACCTGTCGGGGGCATAATGCCCGCAGCTGCCAGTTTCTCTGGAACCAAAGGTTTGGTGAACAGCATTACTGGCTCGTTCGGATCCTGCATGCATTAACCAGAGACGTTAAGTTCCTAATTTCTCTCTTTATTTCTCCTATCATTACCCTAGTTATAAAAATCAATGTGTATGCTCTACTTGACCAGCCTAGCCGTTTGGCTATACTGTACGACCAACCTAGCATTTTCTAGAACACTGTTTGTCAACATTCTATGCACAAATACAAAACCCAATACAATTATAACTCTGCTGGGATCATGAAAAAGAGAGGTTTCCAATTGACCCTTTAGGCATTGCTGTACTGCCCAACTCTTTGTAGAAAGTAAGGATTAATGTGGCATTGGAAATGGATGAATTAACATTATATGCACATGATGTCATGATGAAAAGAAAAAAGCATTAGCAAGCACCAATCTTTGGAGCCATCCGTAGGGACTCTGATGTCTCTTGAAATCCCGTCTAATGCTTCCAGTTGAAACTGTCGCCATCTTTGAGTGTGTAAATGGAATGAACTCTTCCTCACTTGAACCATACTTGGATGTTGGGAAGGAATGAAATCCAGGTAGGGCCAAGCTATCTTCAAGAAGCACAGTTTCATTCTGTTCACACAAAATTATTAGTTGACTGTTCCATACCATAAAAGCAACGCAAGTTATATATAAGTTACTTAAAAGAAATTGAAGTGTTATTTATTGCTTAAATTAATATTCAAATACCACATCAGGTCATGCTACGTTAGTGATGATACATTGGGTATTAATAAGGTAACAACAGTAAAATAAAGGCATCAAGCAGAGACTATTTAAACACTGATGCAAAAAAAGTTTCACAGCTAGATAAATGCTATACTTGTGCACAGGAATAGACAATTAAGCCAATGAAGAAACACACCACATGTTCTCCATGAAGGAGAAAGAAATCAATTCTGTTAAAGTGATAAGCAGCTAGCAGTGCTAAATGCAAATGCAGGTACTGAGTAAAAAATGCATAAATAATAAATGATCATATTGTGTAGGTACTATGAGTAAAAAGGATTGCATTAAATTCTCAATGATCATAATATCATTATATACAGTTTTCTTCAGCATACCTTATGTTTCATTTGAAGTCTCTGAAGGCTAATTTCACTCTCCATAACCTCTCTCTTTTTCTCTTCTCTCTGCATACAAGTCATATTAAATATTTAAATGTTTAAAGCACAGCTCCTAGATGTAGAGGTCTGATATCGCAAGACAACTGCATCATCATCCGTGGTTTCCCCCGTTTCTCGGGATGAAAGTGAGATTTAATATCTAACAGTTGAGGAAAAATCACCTTGACTAGAGCTTCAAGAATGGATTTTGCTTGGTCAAGGTTTTGTCTAACCTGAAGATGAAAGTAGTGTATTCATTAATTTCAAACGGTTTATACACCAGATGAGGTAAGGTAACAATTTGACAAAATATTTTATCACTGTATCATTAAGCAGTGATCAATGTCAATACTATTTGAAAACATCCACAAGAGAGAAGAAGCTAAGATGATAGTGTTATGCCAAACAGATTGCACCTTTGACAACTATGTGTTCACAATGTATTCTTGAATGAAACACTTGTTCACAAGGTTTGCATCAAGCAATCCAGGTGCAATGTGAACAGCAATAAATCCAACTTTGTACAGAGTCCTTTCATTATTTCCTTCTACTTCCAGAAAATGTTTCCGCAAGTGTCATAATTAGTCATGACTAAACGGCATTGAAAGCTTGATTTGTTTTTTTCCAATTATGAATTACTGGTTATCTTTGGTTGCCTGTTGGTTCACCTCTTCATCTCTTAACAAGACAAGCTATCGGGAATCTCGTGCCCACCATCCAAGTGTATGTGCCATTATGTAGGGTGAGGAGGTGGGGTGTCCTCATTCCACCATCATCAGCAAAGGATAAACCAATCCAAACATACCCAAAATATCTCACTCATGGTAGGGATTGTAGAGGTGAAATGTAGGCAGAACTTAGCTCTACCAATAGGAGTAGAAAGAGTTTTTGTAAAAGCTCTTAGAAAGCAATGACATGTTTTGTGAAAGTTTAAAAGCATAAAAGCAGAAAGGCGGAAGAAAAATACAGGGAAAAAGCACAAGAAAAAAATGAAGAAACAAAATAGCAGCAAAAAAACAAGAACGCAAGAAAATACTTCGCTATCAGGATTCAGGAATGCAAAAAAATACAGTACCACAAAAAGGGTGTATATTAGTTATATAGTTATATATGAATTTTATGTTTGCTCCATTCAAAGAAAATGCCAAAAGAATTCACTCTTCGTCTTCAAATAACACATCTATGATATGTGTTACATTAACAAAGAAAAAGCATCAGTTAAAGGAGTAAACATTCAAAATTCTAATCAATATGATTACATGATTGTTCAACTTCATTTTGCATTGGCTTACAATTTGGAAATGCAAATGCAGTCACACAACATGAATAAGAGAATGATGATGGCCACGGTCGTCTGATTGTTAAGAATTTTTCTATGCAAATACAACTTGAATAGAGTGTCAAAAGCCTAACCTGATGCCATTTGTGACATAAAATGAGTAATCATGCAACAAACAGAAGGGATATAACAACATAGATAAATCTTCTATATTTTGACTACAGAGTAATATGAAGTGTATAGAGGTAACTCAAGCAGTGTGGTCCATAAGCTCACCTGGCGAAGCTTTTCAAAAGATTGAACATTGTTTTCCCTCCTTTGCATCTAGGCAAAATAAGAACTATAAGTATCAAATTAATGCCTCGGAATTAAATTGCTAGCACAGAAATTCACAACAAAGGAATAGGCAATGCCAATGCAGACACATACCCTTCTTGTATGGAGTCTGTGAGCCTTTTCCCTTGGCCTAAATACGTTATATGGGTTGGTATCATTAACGGGTGGAGGTGGCTGCAAAATTACTTGTCAGAAAACAAACATGGGGTAAATAAAAAAATACAAACTCAAACCATGGAAATCATCATCATATAAAACACCCACCCCACCCCTCAAAGAGCAAAAGAAACCATCAGATTCCTAAGGAGAACAATATGAGTGATAAGTGATAACTGATAACAGAAAGTTCAGGGATAAAAAGAACAAAAACAAGAGCTTTAATCTTGCTATGATGGAAGTTTTTGGAATGAGAAGACAATGAAGATTATCATGAACGCGATGCTACTTTGAAGGTGTATAAACAAATGAAAGAGCCATTTAAAGTGAGGAGAAGCGCAGTGCTCAATATAGAGTTCGAAACTTCAAACTCAACATACGCACAGCTGGTTGACATTAAGTTCAATCGCGAACATCTATTTAGTTCAAACCAATAAAGATCTTCCAACCCTTTACTGGAAAAAAGAGCCCAGCCTCATTTGTCCCCCGCTCAATCCCTAGTCATCATATCATCTAATTCTTCTCCATCGTATTTCCTCTACTCTGCTGTTTTGTTCACATAACCAAAGTCTTCTTCTGCCTCTCCAGGGGCTGCCTTTCCTATGTGCGCTCAGCCTTGTCAACTTCTTCCTCTGCATGGAGTTATAAATTTCTGGACCTACATTCTTATATGAGGCTAACCCTCAGTTTCACATCCCAGAACACGATCTATAGTGTTTCTGGAGTGCTAGGGTACCATGAAACAGTTCGCACATTCCAAAATGTAGTGCTGGAGGGGGAAAGGGGGTATGAGTGAATTAGGTAGCTAGGGTTCTAACAAAAGTGGCTCGCCTCCTCAGTGAGTAAGGCTCATGATATAATTATATTGATGTACAAAGAAGTTACTGACCTGCAAGCGCCGAAGAATGGGCTTTTGCCATCGTTCTCTCTGAAGGATAATATAATAGATAGTCCACAAAGAAAAGCATTATAATTCATCTCTCACAAGGAAAAAAGGAACTACAAATTGTAGATAATATTCTATCACAATGATAAAAATGAAACTTCGATGGCACAGAATGCATACCTTATCCTTCCAGTAGTTATATATAGACTGAAAAATTCCATATGTCGTAGAAATCGATTGCAAAGCCTAGAATTCCAATTGCACAGCTATAAAATCAGTTATTAATAAATATCCTTTCCAGAATCATGGAGATATATGGAAATTCATTGCAAAGCGTTAACAGCTAATTATATGCAGGAGCCTAGAAACTAAGTTGGAAACCGTTAAGCAGTAGTCAAAAGCCAATGTGCGATCTTGTGTCGAGATGTTATACTCAAAAAGCAAATGCAAAAATTGAGTTTCTGCAAACTGTGAAATAGAATGAACTACATCTACAATCTATATATAGTAACCAACTAATTCTATGAAAGGATATTTAAATAACCATTACATCATGTATATTACTCCCTCTATCCAGCTTTTTCTGTCCCGTTTTGGTTGACGAATTTTTACTGAATTATTTTCAATTCAATGTATTTAAATATTGGCATCAAACTTAAAAATAAAACTTACATAATTAAAAACTATATCAAAAGCTCTACGAAGTATACAACAAGAGGTAATTTGACTATTTTACTGTAACAAATGATTAAACTAAAAAACGAGTGAAATGATATAGTTAGACCGTGTGAATAGAAAAGGAGAAAAAAATTGTGGGATGGAAGGAGTGCATCATTAGAAATGATGTAATACTACTTTACATCTAAATTGATAAAATCAATCTTTAACAATTCCTAGCAGAAAACTGCTCTTGGGTACCCCCATATTTTGAGAAACTAACTGCCGGGTACCTCATATTTTCAAAATATACTCCGAGGTACCTTCTATTTTGAGAAACTAACTATCGGGTACCTCACATTTTTAAAATATACTCCGAGGTACCCTCTATTTTGAGAAACTAACTATCAGGTACCTCACATTTTTAAAATATACTCCACGATACCTCCAAATATATATTAATTTTACGCCATTAATTTTAAGAAATAGGGGTTTGGAATTTTAAAAAAACCAAGATCTTTTTAATTTGAAGAAAATTGAGTACTCAATTTTAAAAGTATTGAGTACAATTTTCTTCAAATTAAAAAGATCTTGGTTACTTTTAAAATTCCAAACCCCTATTTCTTAAAAATAATGGCGTAAAATTAATGTATATTTGGAGGTATCCTGGAATATATTTTTAAAATGTGAGGTACCCGATAGTTAATTTCTCAAAATAGAGGGTACCTCGGAGTATATTTTAAAAATGTGAGGTACCCGATAGTTAGTTTCTCAAAATAGAAGGTACCTCGGAGTATATTTTGAAAATGTGAGGTACTTGGCAGTAAGTTTCTCAAAATATGGGGTACCCAAGAGCAGTTTTCTGAATTCCTAGAGCTTAATTTATTTTTTCACACAAACGTATTTGAGCTCTGTATGTGTAGGAGGGTGATAAATGAATTACTATTATTCATATACATCAACTTGCAAATTATTCTCAAAGCTATCTACCTAGGATGATTTGGTTTTTCACAAGATACACACTAGACCCTGGATATCAACAAATTAGATTTTCACCTCGACAGCACCATCAAAGCTGAGAAGCACAGGGATATGTGGTACAAGAGTTGGCGTAATTACTCCTGCCCTTTCACGCGCCTTGTGATCGAAAACCTCCAACTTAAATAGGATTGACTCAAGCCTGAACCAAGAAACAAATGATATGGGGAAAAGTATTAAGAATTTCAAAACAAACATCCAAAGCAACAACTTTCATGTTAAAAGTATAACACATTCAGAGAAAAGGAAAAAATCACAAAAGTACAGGATAATGATCATGAAAATATTAGAAATTTTATCAGAGCATACATGAAGGGTGTCAAATCAACTCATCCACTTTAGGAAAGAAAAACTACTTTCCAAGTCAACGATGAAAGCAAAGGTTACATGAATACTTCGCTAATGTGATGTTCATGATAGTATCCTCTAATAAAAAATTCATGAATTAACCTAATCGACGAAAGGGCCCTTCTGTTAGACCGTAATTCAAGTCACAACATGCAAATGGGGTCATCTTATCGTATTCTGTATTTGCTCTGCCCACATAGAAATAAATAATTATAACAGCAAGGAAGCAAATCGGATTCTGTATTTGCTCGGCCTTCAAGATAGCTATAGAAACTAGAAAGGCCTTCCCATTGGTACCCCATAACTAAGAGTTTTGCTGGCAATTAAAACTATTTAATGCAGCAATAGCCAATAGATTATTGAGTATAATTGATGTTTGGTCACTCGGCTATAGTTGCATCTCCACAACTATGGTACTCAAGTATTATGTTAAACTCTATATCAGGTTCTTACTTCTCTGACTATCATGTATGATAATGTCCCAGATTATCAGTATTAGTGTTCTAAAAAGCGCTAGCCATACCGTCCATGGCTAAGCGAGGCCTAGCGCCTAAGCGAGGAACAAGGTGGAGCTAGGCGGGGAGTTTAAGATCTCTGATGAGTATATCAGTGTCCATGCTCCATGATACCAGTTCATGACAACAAAAAACTATTCAATTGCTAGGGAAAGCATGCATCTTCCTTCAGACCCTCTCTTTTTGATATACTTCGTATTTCGTACAGGTCACGTATCGAGTTAGACTTCAAAAATGGCAACAGGCAGATATTGAAGAAGAGTTCTAAACAATAATAGGCTGCGTTATGGCCTAGGGGATCAAAGAATTACAAGAGTAGTTGTGAGCTACAATAAGTGAATATCAAAAAATCCAACAGGAATCAAATTGATGAACCAAAAGAATTACATGTGCTTATGTGAACTACAACTAGTCAATAACAAAAAGTGTAACAGGAACTAAATAGAAAATAAAGAATCACATGTAACTTGTGACCTACAATAAGTAAATAACAAAGAGTGTAGCATGAAAAAAAATATGAACATAATGACATTATTACTTTTCTGCAGGAAGGATCTCCCTTTCTTTGTTAAACTCTTGAAGCCAATCCTCATCTTCATTGTCAAGATCGTACTCCACAAACTCTCCAATTTCAGCCCGAGCTATATGTATATATGTTAAGAAAGAACCCTTTAAAGAGTCTAGGACTACGAGCTCAAAGCAATTAAAGCTTAGGACATTTGTAGTCTACGAACCTCCCCTTGCATGTATGTATGATGCTGGCTGACTGAAAGTGCGTGAATAGTCTCTTTCGTATGTATCTACAATTACAAACTCTGGAGTAGGAATTTCAGAAGCCATTTTCTTGGAAGAAACTTGCTGCACCTAATACATTAAAGTTAATTCATCAGTTAGTTTTTTTTCTCGAAAGTTAAATGTATATTTGGGGGGTCTTGGATCATTTCAACTCCACAAAAACAATCTTTGGCAATAACCCTTATGCTTACTTCATGCTAGTAAGTTGAAAAAACATACTACTAAGTCGTCACACTAGTCCTAAGAATCTTACATCAAATAAATTTCCATTTTTTATCATAAATTTACAGGCACACCCCTATTGATATTATGCTTTAAGTGATGAAAAAAATGCATTTAATTTGTGGAAATCATTTTAAGGAGGAACTAGGGAGGGGGGTAAACGATGAACCTACCTCAGTGTCTGTAGCTTCAGCTGCAAGACGGAGAATCTGGGAGTTCCTGGTAGTGGTGGGCGTGTCGATATCATCCTCGAAATCCTTGACTGATTTGACAATAGGCAGTTTCTTATTGACGTCAAGCGGACGGGGCCTGATAGATAATCTACTCATTTTAAGCTCACCACCAGCTCAATTCAGCTCATCTCCAATGAGAATATTAACAAACCCTAACTTCCGTTCTGATACTTCAGGGAAAAAAATGCACCTAATGATGAAACGCAGAAAAGCAGGATACCTCATAACACGAACGAAGCAGAACAGTAACAATCTACTAGAAGAAATAGCATTACTCACAATCCAGGTCTGGGAAGGACAAATCAATTCCTTGGGTTCCACCGGATTCGTGGAAGGAAGAAGGGAGAAGCGTGGGGAGATTGTAAGCGGGGGATCTTCAGCATCGGCGGTAATTTCCGTCGGATTTCGAGCACTCTAGGTCGGTCTTGGCACAAGGATTGAAGCTGGGATATTCCAATTCCGCCGGGAGAAGAACCGCGGGATTTGCCGCCGGGAGGAATTGACTTTGGGGAGGATGGAACTTTGACAACGTTATTAACCGTATAATTTGGGGTTTGTGAGGATTAACAACATAATTCTCCGTATAATTTGGAAGTTTTTCAAATGAATTCTCCGCCTTATTTTTTTCCTCGCTTTCTTTTCTGGCACAACGCCTGCGGGTGGTAAATACGGAGTATTGAATTGGTAAATATTACGGAGTATTTTAGCAAATACTACCTCCGTCCCGCTATATTTGTCCACTTTTGACTTTTGGAACTGTTCATCTAAGCACTTTGACTCATCAAATTCTCTCAATGTGTAAGCCTAAATATAGTCATGTGTGATCTTGTTTGATTTATCTTAACATATAGATTATTAATATATAATTTTTTAATATACAAATTACAAGATAAAATGGATTAAAGAAGTGCATTGAATGGTGTGTAAAAATGAAAGTGGACAAATATAGTGGGACGGAGGGAGTAAATACAACAACAACAACAAATCAAGAGTAGAATCTGGGACGGTGTGTAGTGTGTACGCATACCTTACTCCTATTCGAAAGTATAGACGCTATTTATGTTAGAGATTTATTTTGAATTCAAAATTAAATTTTAAATAAATGGGCACAATTCTTTAAAGAGACATGTTTATTCTTAAATGACATAGCTCTTGAATATTTATTTTGAATTTAAATTGAAAGTTTTTAATTAAATGGGTGTGTCTCTTACAAAAGAGACATGATCATTTATTAAGGGACATACTATTTTCTATAAAATAGAGCCAATGTCACAATGCAAAGAGGGAAAAATTATGTTAGAAAAATGATTTATTATTAATTATTATTTCATTGATTATTTAGAATAATGAAGAAATAATGTATTTATTTCTTATATTTATTCTATGATGATGAAATATTAATTAGTGTATTTTTTTATGTTTTTTTGTCTCCTTTCTCTCGAGACAAGTCTCGTTAAAGTATATTAACAAACTGTTTCGTAGAGCAACTGAACAATTTGGTCTTCTTCATTGTATCTCAAAAGTTCTATCTTGTAACCTTTGTTGCTTATAATAGGGTAGATAAGAAACTTTTAGGAAAGCGTTTCCAAGGATCACGCGTCTTGAAGGTTTATCCGGTTAATTTAACCAACCCTATTTTGAACTACGTGTGGCTTGATCCCCTTCATTGTGTGTACGTAGGCAACTTATAATGTTTTATTTTTCTAGGTGCAGTCACAATAATAAAATTATTTTTTATTGTTCCAACAATCTAAAAGTTTCTTATTCTACTAAAGGTTACGGTTGGTTATTTTTCGGATTATACTAATAATTTAATATTTTCTTGTACTTGAGTATAAGAATGATTTCTTATCGACACTGATAGTGAAGGAGAAGATTACGGTTAGAAAGAAATTGGTTTTATCCTTTGTTAAAGGGTGATAAGAATAAAGTTCTTTTTGTTTGAGAGAAAGTATTTCTCTTAATGAAAAAATAAAGTTGCCTATACATCCATTGGTGAATGATATTACCATGAAGGATGTAACTTTATTGTATTTAAAGCCATATTTCGTACAATGTATTAACCAAAGTGGTTAGGTAGTCCTCATGGAGGAGGTATTTTTGTTTGGCTTCACAATTGATTAAATGATATATTTTGTATGGTTTAAATATATCCAAACTTGGTGAATTTCTTGCATTTTATTGCTGTTGACCCTTGTGTTTTGATAATGACAACTATCTCATGGGCTTGGCACTTTGGATGTTGATCTTCACAATCATGCGTAGGATCTCAAGACAAGTGTGAAGATATAGCGTTTTTGGTTTTCGTTTTGGTCTTAGCATTTTTGTTAAAGTGTATGGCACGTTAGTTGTTTTTCCCTCCTTGAAAATGTTTTCCAAAAACCCTTCAAATTGTTTTTGAGTCAATTGCAAAACAACTTTTTCAAAAACTGTGAGAACTATTCGGATAACTCTTATTTTACTCGAATAAGTCAGAGTTCTCGGTCCTGTCTTATTCGGAAAATTAGCAGATTATTCGAATAAGTCCTGAAGCTCATTTCTTCAATCCTACAGTGACTTAGTCGAATAAGTCTGCGTTTTTCGCTCTGAACTATTCGGATAAATCTGATTTTGTTCGAATAAGTCGTCAGTTTGAACTGCAGATTTGTCAGTTTTTAAGGAAGTTATTCATCCCTATCTTCCATAACTCACATACAACGGCTCTTTTGCTTGAAGAACATTATATATACTCACTCAAACATATTCTTTAATCAATCCAAGCAATTCAATTCATACTTTTGATCCTTCAATAATACTTCCAAGCAATTTTTCAAGAAATCAATATTTGCTTGAGTTTTGGAGAGTACTAATGTGTCATACTCTATAAGTTCTTGTATTCTACAGCAATCCACTCTTAATTTGAAGAGTATTTCCGCTGTGCACTTTGTTTTGAAACGGTGTGTGAATTGTAAAAACTTGAAGTTGATATAATTCAAGTTTTAGAGAGAAATCCTGAGTCTTGTGAAATCAAGACTTCTGATAAGTCCGTTTTGTACGCACTTATTTTCTCTATATTTAATGTGTTGTGGTCCAATTTTGAATTAAACAAATCAATTTCTCAATGGTTTTTATAAGTTTTTATTCATAATTGTAAAAGTGCACAAAAGTTATGTCTTGTTTTAAAAAGAATAAAAATTGAGTCAAAAGTGGTACAAAAAGGTAAAAGATTATGCAAATGGAATACAACGAAGCAAGGAGGCAAAAGATGGCGAAAATCCATGAAGTGAAAAATGTGCATTCAAATGTGGTGATGCGCCCCGTCGAAAGATTTGAGGTCAAACGGATTGAAAAAGCACCAAAAAGAAATTGTTTGGAAAGAAAAAGTAAAAAATGTTGATTCAATTCAAAATTAATTCGTTTGACCCAAATTGGTTCGAAATTTAAAGTCGGCGCAGAAGGAAAAGTTGTTCAGAATAAAATTTTGAACAAGACTGTATTTTTAGAAAAATGTTTTCGACCGAGTCAAAATCCGGCCAACCAGGTGCTGCCACGTGGCGCAACCTGGCTGGCCGGCCAATTGTGTAGCAGCAGTAATTATCTTCAGCCGCCATCCATCATCAAATAGAATAAAAAAGAAAAGAACAAAGAAGGAAGCTCCGTACTTGATGCAAGAAAGAAAAAAAATCTGCCAATCCACGTACCCAAATCAATCGGCAGCAGCACTAACACTCGAGGCGTGCGCCTGGACCTTAGGCCCACGCCTGTCGGAGGCTTGGACCGAAAATTTCTCCTATAAAAGGAGGCATTCGCCCTTCATTCACAATCAAGCCTTCTTCCGGGTCTTTAAGGCCCGGAACTCCATTCTCCGCTCTTTTCTCAGTTATATTTTAATATTTTAGTTTACTTTTATTCCGATTGTCCCAAAGTGGCTCCAACTCTGCTCTCTGTTGTAAGTTTAAATACTTGCAATTTTAATAAAATGTTCTTTTATTTTATGCACTGTTGATATCTAGTATGGGTTAGGACCCGAATTAGGGTCCTGGCTAAATTTGGGCATATACTCTGTATGTTTA